TGATGTGCTTATATTGAGGTGCCAATAAGGCACACAGTATTCAGGGTGGGAATCAGGTTACTTTCGGGAAGTGCATCACCAGCTTTGTGCAGAACAGGTTACCGAGATGCACTAAGTGTGATTGCACCAAGTGTACTAGGAAGATGGGGGTGGGAAGTGGTAGCAGGTCATGCTGCATGCACAGCTGATTTATCTGATGTCTGTGGTTTTACTTGTATAAAGTAATTCTGATCTATTCTGTTAACATTTAGATATGTGTAATACTGATTACTGTGTTACCAGGGCTTTAGTTATTTGAAATAAAGTGTTAGTAACAGACCCAACTCTATATTCAACCACAAACTGGAAAAAAAAAAAAAAAAGGGACACAATGTCAAAATGACAGAGGGCCATTGCTAATAACAAGCTGTTTGGCCTTTCCTTTCTCTTTGCTTTCTCTTAAGTAGCAGCCTGGGGAAGCCTGTGGAGTTTGAGCCTACTTTCTTCTTGTCTGAGTGAACCTAGGGACAAGTTGAGAAGTTACTGACTTCTTAGAAGCCTGGCAGCTTTTTCTAGCTTGCTGGTAAGGAAGGTGTGCAGCAACACACAGTGCTTCTCCTGTTCCCCGCTGTGTGTGTGCCGCTACAGCTTCATTTGTGAGGAACTGGGGAAGAGCAGAGGAGACCTGGAGTTCTCCTGCACACCACTTGTGAAGCATCAGTTACTGTAACACAGTATTTCACAAATTTAAAGGGTATTTGCTTGGTGTATGTCTGTGGTATTAGTGTAGTGGGTTGTCTTGTCCTTCAGGACAGCCTGAAGTTGGCAGTGCCTAGTTAGCCAAGTTGATTTGATAAAACTTTTTTCTTCTTTTTTCCCCATGCACTTCACCAGCTGTGCATGCATTTAGTGAGCAGCAGTGGCTGTGTATCTGGCTCATAAATTTGAGTTGTTGTGGTTCAGGATTAAAAAGATTGCTAAAGCCTGAAGTTGTTTTTCCTTTTGTTTTTAATATCCCTATATATATATGGGCTTTATTTGTAATATTTAGATATCCTCAAATTAGCTTGGCCAAATGTACTGCAGTCTTTATTTCTCTTAAAGTGTTTGTGCTGGAATTGCACACTGTAACACATGGATAGAGCAGCATCTGCAGCACAGAAAGAGAAGATTAAAAAATGACTATTTGCTGTATCATTACTGTGTTGCACTTGGCCTTGCGGCTGAGGAAGCAAAGAGTTAAATTTTAACTGTACATCCTGTTGATCACCTGTTTGGTTTTTTTTCCCTCTAGTTTGAAGCAGGCAGATAGTGAATGCAGCTAATCATTAACAGTTACTTTAAACTTGGAGGTTGACTTTATTTCTGGGATTAGCTGGCATGGTCCCTAGCACTCAGTTATAATGGCAGAGGGGTTTGATGGTTTGTTTACTTGCATCTGCTTCCCAAAGGAAACATGTTGTGCTTTTGGAAGGGCTGTCTTCTCCCTCTTCTCCAACTCAGTACAATGCTGGACGTTTTCTTGCTGGATTATGTTGTCTAGGAGTGAGAATCCTGTGCCTGTTCCCTAGACTTTAAATTATACTACATATTTATGTTTCAGCATAGGCCAAGCATGCTTGAAGCTGGGTCTGACTGTTTGCCTAGTGGCTGTTAACCTGTGTTAACCCAAGCTGGTTTGCCATACTTCGCTCCTCTCCATCTTTGATGCTTAAAAGCAGGTTTTGTGCATGAAGTAATGCAGTAATCACTACTATTTAGCCATCTCGTTCCCATATTAGAGCAGACACTTACTCAGAGCTACAGGTTCCAAGTGTGGCCAGAGCTTTGAGAATGGTCAGGTTTGGCTGTTACTTGGTATATGTGGCGTGTCTCTCTTGGAAATTAACTGTTGACTGGCTGGGTAGCTCTGCTGTCCTGCTAAGAATTGCTTGTGTTTTGGGTTTTTCTTCTTTTGGAAGTGAAAAACATTGCCTGTGACAAAACAACAAACTTCCATATCAACATCAAGCAAATAGATATAAATAAAAAAAATACAAAACCGAACAACTGTTGTGTGCTGTGTTTTGCGTAGTGATCACATGTGGTCTTTATAGATCTAGAAAAAGTCATTTTGTCTTGAAGCAAGGTGCTGTCTAGTAGCTGACAGGCAGCATATTGCTCTAGGCAAAGCACGTGCTGGGAGCCTTTGCTTTGCTTTGCGTAGAGGCAAAGCACCGCCTTGCTCTTCCAGTGTACCTGATGTGGTGAGAGCTGCAGTCTCATTTGCTTTGGACAGCAAATGAGTCTCTAGCACAGGCGTGTCTGCTCGCTGTTCGGGATTTACATGTGTGCCCTAATTGCTGGCCCTGCACTGTGATACAGAGAGTCTTGTCTTTGCTTGGTTTACATTACTGAAATCTGTGGAAAGAGTTTACAAATCGCTGCTCTGTATCTAATTTTGGATAAACTGTCTGATAAAATTAGGAGTTTTTTTTTCCTGTTCTAAGGGTTTTTTCCAGTAACAGAAATTTATTTCAAGATTACTTAAGTCATTTTCCAAAGCTCGTATGGTACGGCATCATCGGTTCCTGGAATTTCTTACCCTCTGTTCTAGTAGTTTATGGAATTTTCATTGTTCATTGCAGAGAGGAAAAGTCAGTTTTCATGGACTACCTGCTAGGAGAGGATATAGCTTTTTTTATACTGTCAAGGGCTTTGTTTTGTTTTCTTTCTCTTTTCTTTTGCCATCAATATTAAGAGAACTCATTCTAAAAATGCATTTTTGTCCAACCACTGAACAAAAAATGAATTTTTTATTAACAACAGATTGTGAGAATGAAGTAGAAGCATGGATTTATTTCAAGGGGCATAGCAGCATTTTAAAATAACCTCTTTTAAAACACTGTAGTATGGGGCTTAAATTGACGTTCTCCTCAGCCTCCTGTATTGCTGTGTTGTTTAGGTGATTCTAAGTTCTTTTTTCACCTACGCAGTGCTCATATATTATGCAACATGTAGAGTTATGTGTGATTAAAGAGTCCTGTAGGAGAATTTGAGACCTGGTATTGTCATTGAACAAAAGGGTTCAGATTGTATGGAGGAATTAGAGAAGAAATTATTTAAGAGCATGTAGCACAGCACTTGGATAATGTTTCTTGATCTCACTGAAAGCAACCTAAAAGGCAGAACCAACATGTATATTTTAGTCCCTGAAAGGAAAAGAAAAAGTAATAGATGGAGTTGGAGAAATGTGGGTAGTCCTGTTCGTAAGTCTTTTCTCTGTCATCTGTGAAAATGGCTGCCAGAGCAAACGTGTGCACAGTGGCTGATCCCTGATACTGATGTCGTGGTAAATGCTTGATCTGTAAGATTGTCTTATTTGGAAAGGTGCTTTTTATTGCTGACTTTGGGATGTTTCAGAGCATGAGTGTTTAGAACAATAAAGCTTGCTCCAAAGCTTTACTGGGGTATTTCATTAACTTGTTCCAAATAAGCTAATACAGACGTACACATTTAATGTCTTGAATTGCTCTGGATAATCACAGCTCCTGTTTCTATTAAGATTCTGTGCACTTCCAAAGTCAAAGACCCTTTTGCGATGTTACAAGTTGTCTGTTACTTAGTTTTAAGCTGTGAAAATAAACTTGCATGATATCACTGTTTTTAGCTGCTTCTTGACTTGTGTTTCCACTTGTAATCTGCAATGCCATGTGTCGAAGCTGTTGGGAGGATTTTCTTTCTTTCTGTACTTACTCGGGAGAATTTAAGATTATTTGAGTGTGTACACCAGTTAATGAAAAAAGCCATTCAACTGAAGGCATTTCTTAGTGAGCTCTGAACAGTGAGTGCTGGCTTTCCTAGAAATGGTTGCTTCCTGGATGCTTACCTTGCTTTTTTCATCTTGCCTCATACAGAAGTAGAATGAAAGATAGACTAGTTTTGTGCTTCATCTTTGACTCTGCTTCACTAAACAAAACCTTGCACACCACAATATCCATTTTAGTTTAGGCCATTTCTGGAGACATACCCAAACGAGTATTGATGGATGAGGGTTTTTCTTTCTGAACCTTGACTCTGCTTCTGTGACAGCCTCTCCGGGAGGAATTGGTGCTTACAGACTGAGGATTGTTTCTCTTAGTGGAGAAAGTGGTGGCTTGATAGGTTTTGTTCAGAGTCACTTAGCATGGTGTGTTTTGTCAGATACCATCTGCAATGAGATCCTGAGGTTCTAGAAGGTACTTAAACCAGTAAAGTCGATCCCTGAATCTTGAAATAGTCTTCTTAGAGCTGAGAATTCCTATGGTATCTGGTGCTTGATTTGTACTTGTTCTCCTTCAGCTAGGATTTAAGCAAAAGTTATACTGCATCTAGAAGCTGTTATGTGAAGCTTAGTTTGATCCTTCACGGACTGAGAGACTGACCTTTCTTTATCTTCTTAGGTATTTCCTAGTAAAATGTTGGAGCTCGATGTATTTTATATTGATTTACTTGCAACTTCAAGGCTCTATTTTATTCTCCTAGTGAAGCTGCTATAAACAGTTTGACTGAAACTAGCCTCAGTGCTGAAATTAGTCCTTCTCTATGCAGACTCTTACTCTGATATGCACTGATGGCTTTGCTGAAAGAAATTACTGCACAGACTTCGCAGGCTTAGTCCCGCTCTGGGGCTGCGCGCAAATTGCTTAGTTTGTCTGTCCTGATTTTCCAGCTGTGGAGTTAGAGCAATTTATTACCAGTGTCAGTCATAAGAACATTGAGGGTTAATCTGCAAGAACTGTATCTACATAGTGTCTTTAGAGTGTCAAAGCAGTAATGTAGAATCGTAATCTTATTATTAATATTGGTTATTTCATTAAAGTGTTATTTTCAAACAATGTTCATGTAGATTAAACTCATTTTGTCAGTAAACTGGCATCCTTCCAGCAGCATTAACTCTGTTCAAATTCTTTCTCTAATACTGAAACGTAAACATGTAGAGAGCTCTGTAAAGAAAACAGCAAATGCCTAAAGAAACCCGTACTTTCTTGTTTTTAATCTAGACTGTGGACATCCATAAAGAAAAGGTCGCTCGCAGAGAGATAGGCATTTTGACGACCAATAAGAACACATCGAGAACTCACAAAATTATAGCGCCAGCGAACATGGAACGTCCTGTAAGGTATATTCGAAAACCTATAGACTACACGGTGCTGGATGATGTTGGCCATGGTGTAAAGGTAAGAATACCTGGACACTTGAGGACTTGGATCAGGAGAAAGGGTCAGGGCGGAATGTTACTGACATTAAAATGTTTAGTTCATGTATGGTAGGAAGCATTATGGGTTTGATATCCTTCCACATACAAACATCTCAGTAACAAAATGTATTGGTTTACAGTGAGAATTTTTTGAGCAATGTTTGCCATAACTTTGTGACAGTCAGTGGTAGTCCTAACGCCTGGAAATAATGGCTCACGATCCTGGGCTAATGACTTGTCAAAAAAGCTATGTCTGACTTTTAAAACTATCGCTCTTTCCTCCTCTGATTAAAGTGTCTCTGTCACTCCCTTTATTTCTTTCATTATTGAGAAAAATTAAGTCATCTGTTACAGGGAAACTGGCTGGTGGGGTGGGTTTTTTTGTTGGGGTTTTTTTGGAGGGTCATCAGGAGAAAGGGGGCCAGCTGGTTGACACTTAAATCTCTGGCATTTGATGTCTCACTCCCATTTGTGCTTTTGAACAGCCTCACTTTCCCTTCTCTGAATCACAGCCTTCGTAAATTAATGTCTACCTCCCTTGAAACAGTCATAGTTGTAGTGGATTAATGTAACACCCTTTGCTCCTTAGAATTCTTTTTATAAAAAATAGCTTTATATTGCCCCAGAGCAGGCCTTCCAGGTGTATTCAGTTCACAACAATCTTTCCTTCAGTGACATTAAATAGCTTTTATTCAGCACTCATGTATCCTCTAAAGCTGGATGTGCTCTGGTCAGTTGTGCAGCTAGGTCAGCCCATCATGTGCCCTTTGAATTGCGAAGCTCTTGAGGAACAGATATTTCAGAATTGCTTGACACAAAAGAGTGCCAGGGTACCTCTGGCTTCATGGTAACCCTCTGAATGGCCAGAAGAGTCTTAATTCCAACACAAGCTATAAAGTAGCTCTATGCAATGACAGCTCTAAGCTATGAATTAACATAGCAACTTTGGACTACCTGACCTTTTGGGTTTTTTGTCAGCTAAACCTGTACTAAACCTGTAACTCTTAAGGTTGTTTTGCACTAATAATTTAAGTCAGAGTGGATGAAGCACAATCCTATGTAGAAGCCTGAAAGATGTGCCCTGAACTGCTGTAAGATAGAAACACTGGGGTCAGAGGAACTGATCATTTTTCAGTACAGTTTCTGCATTCGAGGATAGAGCTGTGTGAACAGAGAATGCAGGTGTTCACAAATTCAATGTCAGGATATTGGTTTCTGCATTTAAGTGCTTCAAGGTTCAAGTGCTGTAGAAGACTTCTATAAAGTAGAATAATACTGTTTAGTCTCTGAAGTTGATGGTTTGCTGAACTGCTTGTCTTGTGCAGGCTCAAAGCAGGTTGCTTGATCCATACACACTGGAGTTATTAAGATGTAGCAGGTGCGTTTTCCAATATGACTGTTGGCTTTTAGGAGTGCTGGTATCTTTATTAATGCGGCCCTATTTGTTTAGGGAGTGGAAATGAGGTCCTGTTTACCTACTCCTAGATACTCTTATGGAACATTTTTAATGAAGGCATTTTTAACTATTAGCATATTAATTCTGTATTAAAAACTTGGTCTGTTCAGAGGTAAAATAGCTTCCAATAATAACCAAATTATCAACTCATTACAAGTTAGCTACAAATTATGTCTTGCTCTTGTTTCCTTATTGAGTGATTTGCCTAAGTCTGTTTTATGACTGTGGAAGACATGAAACATTTAGAAAATACCAACACTTCTTTTCTGTGTCGGCTTGTTCCCCAGATGAAATAAGCAGCCAGGCCTCAGGTGTAGAGCTCCAAATGGCTGTCGTGCATTTGACACCCTCACCAGTGCTGATGGTCACTGGACACTGTTGTGAAGAGCGAGCTGAGACAGTGAATGACATAATGAAATGTTTTAGCCATCGTGTTACTTGGGTTCTGAGAGCATGACACAGATCATAGCTCTGAAGGAAGTAGTTGCTTTCACAGAATCACAGAACGTTAGGGA